ATCACAAAAAAAAAAATAAGAGCACGCTTTTTAGCTCCTATTAGAGGTTGAACGGCTACATTTTTATTTAGGGTAATGTACATGAATAAGTAACCGTGGGCTATTTAAGGGGTTGTTTGTTTTATTTAAAAAAAATGTGGTTTGAAGAAAGTGAAACAAAAAAAGTCGACACGAAATGTGACTTATCGACTACGTACCAGAAGGCCAGCCTGTGATAAATGAACGTGACAAAATGTAATGTTCGTTTCATGAGAACTTTTTTTCTTTCTCCATCTCGTGTTTTAGTATATCCGCTTTGATAAACGTCGTGCTCCCTTTAGTTTTTTTTTTGTTTTTTGTTTAGCTTTCGCTATTTGCGAACACATGCAGACACGTTTTGGCTGAAGCAGACCTGCATCCTGTACTAAGGCATGATTTCATCCTTTGTATGCATGGCTGAGGACTTTAGTCGAAAAGGAGATGATGAGTTTAACCACTGCTTGGAGGTGTGTGGTCGGTGCTACACGTGTCCAGCTGCTCAAACTCCGGCGACGTAATAAGTGCAATATGCCAGACAACACTTCGTTTATGACGCAACCACAAGAACTGGGCGATGTACTGGGGTGACATAAGCTTGTTCACAACAACCTGTGCGCGCATCACCGCACTTATGACCAGTTGTGCTAAAAGGTGCGGACCCCGTCAATTTAAAGCATCTGTCAGATGATGAACCGTTGTCTCGTGAGGAAGTGGCTTCTACAAAACCCGATATTATCTGCAGTATTCGCACTTGTGCGTCTTCAGTCACAGAGTCAAAGTATCCGCGTACTATATATCACAGAAGGAGGCTTAGACGACCGAACTGCTAAATCATAATCAGCGATATCGAAACCGAAAGCTATAACAGAAATCAAAATATTCTGCGCAGGTTACTCGCATGCTAAAATCAACAAAATATTTCAAAACCGTTTCGAAGAGGTAACTCGTTCAAAAAAATATCTACCTTGCCTCCATGAGAATTCGGAATATAGCGGCGTTGTTTTCTGTACCATCAACCTTTCTTCCACAACAGCAACTTGGAAGTGAAAAAGTAAAATAGTAAAACAAAAAGGTTCAAAACGAACTTACGTTCGAAGAGCTCGTAACTTGAACTTCTTCTCCGGGTTTGCCGTAATTTCCTGGACATGCCGTTGAGCCCCGGTTGGGAAGGAGCATGTGTGGCCCTTCATTTCTACGGCAAAATGTTCCCAACACCACGGCACACAACACTTATAAGGAATTGATCCTCATATTTGCACACAAAACACTGGAGATTCAGGGGTCCGAACTCCTCAAACACAATCTTGGAGCCGAAAGTTCGTGACGCGTCGATTAGACGCTGGCGAGAAAAACGCAAAGTCATCGTCGGGATAGTCCAATTTGTGCACTCCGTGGTCTTCGGCCCCAACTTCGTGTTTGACGAAGTTCGCCGACAGACGCAGGGAATACACAGGCGTGTTGTGCAGGGTTGTAAAGTACCTAGGTACAAGTAACTGTAAATCGGTAACTAGGTACTTTTGTTGTACCTGAGGTACAAACTTAGGTACTTTCATTTCTCAGTATCTGTATCTGTATCTTAGGTACATTTTCCAGTAACTTGTAACTAAGTGAAGTTACTTTTTACAGGTACTTTTTTTATTCACTTCGTCAAAATCGTAGAAAATACAATATAACATATAACTGAAAATAAATTACAATTACAGTCTTAAAGCAATTTAACATCACGTAGTGTTTCCCCACAATAAATTGAACTCAGATTTTGCACTTTACAAAACTGAAAATACCTACGTCTGAAGAAACTCCCTCCTGGTTTCTAAAATACCCCCTACAAATACTACTTCCAGAGTCACAGCTATAATTACGTGCGGAAAATAGTATTGGGAGACCTTAGATATGTAAATGTTCATTTCACATAATTAAGCACAACAAAACTGGCAAGCTTCGTTGTCAAAACTTATTGCAGCAGTAGAAGGATACAAACATCAAGGGCACATAATCGAAGCACTCGTACTCTGGCCGAACGGAGACTTTGAGCTCCTGATGTAGTCTGCCACTGATGGCTGGGCTGCTGCTATTCTATGTTGTGGAGGGCCTGTGCTACATTCGGGTCTTTCGTTGGGCGCCGCGGCTTTCCGTTTTATTCCGTCGACATTCGTCTTGCTCTTGTCGACACTCTTTAGTGCTTCCTTGTGAGACACTTTGAAGAAGCAAAGCATGGCTAGTTAATACTTAATGCACCGTATCAGAACAGCTCAGCGGCGCAGGACACTAGTCCAACTAGGTTTCAGCATTAGTACTTGAGACGAAAACGATATTTCTGCCAGACGCCAAAGATGGTCAACAGCGGCGGAAAATTCAGGACGTGCGGGCATAAAAAGGGAAAAATTGGTTGCTTCCAGTAAAACTAAACTGAAGACGATATCTAAATGACCAATGACAAGGCAGCTTACAGATAACTGTTGTGGGTCGGTTCATTTTCTCGGAAGCCTAGTTTACCTAGCGTACCCGGACATCTTTGTAACGACTTCTTACCGTCGCTCCAGACGCCCTGAAAAAATGGACTTGCACCGTAATTTTGTATAAGCATGACCAAACCTTTCTTTGTTACCCATTCCTGACGAAGACCGGACTCGGGTTGAAACGTCGAAAATAAAGTTTCCGTTGTTCTACCGAGGGACCTCTACTTCGTCATATATAATATATAGGTGAAGTCAGAGTGGTGAATGGGTGGAAACACGTCGAAGACAAAGAGTGAGTTGACACAGGGACAGGCTTTAAACAACGGTTTCGAGGGGGTCCTGCAAAGTTCTAAGTCCCAGTTATCGAACATCCGCAGTTGAGAGCAACGACAAATCAGTAGCAGGCGTATTGTACGCACGAAAAGTTGCTACCCTGACGTGCGACGCGACGTCAATCTCTTGGCCGACTGACGGACGTAAACGCACATAGTACGGAACATAACAAACTTTACACAGTGATGGAAGTGCCATTTGACCTTTTGGAGCAGGCCTTCTAGCAGGCGAAATATTTTTTGGAGCAGGTAGTGGCCCTTTTGGAGCAGGGTCCGGCCAATGTTGGCATATTACTTGAAAATGAAATAATGCCGCATTGCTATATATAGCCCATCTCTATTATTGGAACACAGTGCCTGTCGCCTTTTTAAGACAGGCTATATAAAATTCAACAAAGTAAACACAAAAAAAAAAAAAATTAAAATAAAGTCTCGTTTTGTTGTGCTTAAAGTCTGCTCGTCAGATAAAAAAATACAATTAAATATGTAACACTGAGTTCTGACGGTACAAGATATTTAGTTTTATCAGCCTGCACTTCTTTTCAGGTATCTGCAGCAGCATCTGACGACCCTCATTGTTGTGGAATGTTTTAGTTCAGATTAGAGTTGTTTTTTGGGCAGCAGCTTCTAATATTGCGGTATCTTATATTTGCTTCAAAAATTCCGATTCATTTTAGATGTGCTGGCGAAGTCACGATCGGATCACGGCGAGTTAACCCGTTGAGTGCGCTCCTTGGCATGCACCGACGCGCTGCAGAGAAGTGACACCCGCGGAGCAGACACCACAGTCGCGCGAGTCGCGCAGTGCTTTGTGCTCCGAAAAGGACGGTGAGGCTTTACCAGCACTACATCCAGAGTTTGGTGAAACTTAGTGAAACTCAACTATACTTCGTTTCAGCTTCGGTCCGAGCGCAGCCGAAGCTACAAGCGCGCGCATGGAGCCCGTAACGGTGCCCACACTGCACGAGCCCACACGCGAGTCAGGAATGCACAGAGCATTGGGCTCGCGCTAGCTTTGACTTCGCTGGTAGCTAGCGTACGGGAAGAGGGCGGGAACAGGGCGGGCCCGTTGACACCAATAAAGCATGCTCATCAAACTTGTTTTTGTGTACATCCCAGTATACAAAGGATTTACTTCTAATAATAATGTGACAAATTTGAGAAAAAATACTTGGCGTGAAAATAAAAAGTACCTTTGAAGTAACTGTACCTGCACCTAGGTACATTTTTAAGCGAGTAGCTAGATACGTACCTAGGTACATTTTCGTATGAGTAACTGTAACTGTATCTTAGGTACATTTTTGAAGTGACTTTTACAACCCTGGTGTTGTGTCCGCATTTCGAACGGCTTTTCACTTTGCCCGACTGCACACCAAATGTCTGGTTTTAGCATCGCTAGCGAGCCGCTCTCTGTCTGATAAGGTTGCATCGTCACGTCGCGTGACCTTTTTCTTTTATATTTTGTATTATATTCAGTACGTACAACCTATAACAAACTTCAATCTTTCATACTGACACTCATAAACACATCAGAAAGGTGGGTGAAAAAAAAAAGTATTTCCCCAGAGCCATTTTGCGTGCTTCGTCAGCATCATCGGTGATGCGCGTTGCGTGAAAACACACTTCTGGCTCTCCTCTCTGTATAAAAAAAAAAGAACAGCAGGAGAAGTGACGTAGCTGACGTAACAAAACGAAGAGCGAAGGCTTTAGTTTCTAGAAGCTGTTGCTGCAGCCGACACAATGAACCAGCGCCAAAAGTTCATCGTCACGGCGCTATTGTTTTCTATAACCGGCTAGACCCTTCACACACTCAGGAAATGCGGAGGATTACGGGCGCATATATTTTACTCGATCGGTTTAGTCGGTAATGGCATATAGTTACTGGGATCCGGCCAACTTGTCGACGGCCCATTCGTCGAATAGGCCAATTCGTAATAGGGCAATTCGTCGAAGGGCAACTTGTCGAAAGGGGCAATCTGTCGAAGGGCGATTCGTCGAATGGGTTGAATGACGGTCCGAGGTTCAAGTTCGTAGTTCGATCCTTCTTACCTTTTGACCTAAATTTTTATTGTTGTTTTGACACAGCGCCCTTCTTACCCTTTCAGGACCAAATTATGCCGATTCGCGGTAAAAAATTGAGGCTCCTAAATAGGAACCTTTATTAAACATGTGAATAAAAAATGGAGCTAAATCATGATTTGGTGTTAACATGGTTGGTATATTGGATGATTCCAATTGGCATCATTGGCACTTTGTTGCCTTGGGTGTCCTCATACAAAAGCTGTGTAGTTGGCCTCTACTTGACGTGGAAAGCTCGAAAACAATTCTTGTCTTTGTTGAGACACAAGTGCATGTTGTATTTCCCGCAGAGAATTCGGGAGTATGAAACTATGCAGAGCTTGCACCTCTGTTTCTTCTCCGAGTGAACTGGCCAGTGACCAATCATGTCAAGGCGAACATCTTGAACAAGCCGGGGCTGTGCGTTTGCTCTCTTGGGAGGAGGCGTCTCGAGAGCAGAAGGCCGACCACGCTTTCTTTCGTCCAGTTTTCCTGCTTTGAGGAGTGCCCGCGCAATCTGCATACGGAATTCCACAAGTAGCCGAAATTGCGTACCAGTCTGTGAGCAGTGTCTTCTGTACAGCAGCCAGGAGTTCACGACGCAAACGTCAATGAGGTGAAACACGATTCGAAGGTAGTATCTTCTACCTCGTATATCACAGCGATAGAGCTCCACGAGCATGTCACACAAGTCGACGCCCCCCATAAACTGGTTATATTCACTGACGATGGCAGGACGTTCAACAGTCACATGACTGTGGCTGGTGGAGCTCCACCTTTCAACTTGTCCTTTTGGGGCTGCTCCAACATAGGATGACACCAAATGGACAGACTTGTTGTCGTACCACTTTACAGCGACTACGTTGCCCTTCTGCTCAGTGGTCACATCGAAACTTCCACGACCTTCCTTCTTCAATGTCTGGTCATTCTTGAATGAGCAGCCCGGGAGACGGTTCGGGCGCACTGTGCCAACAGAGAGAAGACCCCTCTCTTTCAACGCACATACTAATCCATACGAGGAAAACCAGTTGTCGAAGGCAACCTTGAAGCCTTTGCCTGGTGGAAGCGAGCCTGTGAGCTCGATGACAATGTCCCCACTAATGCCGAGATCAGAAGGTTGGGTGATCGTTGCTTTGCCCACGTACACGTCAAATGAATAGACAAATCCACTGGCACCTGCTCGGGCGAACACCTTGATGCCCCACTTATCGGGCTTGTTTCTCAGGTACTGCTTGAGTGCGCATCGACCTTTGAAGGGAATTATCATTTCATCCACCGCGTTGTACTCTTCGGGCTCAACTTTAGCCAAGTTTTTGGACACCTGGGCAAGTAGCGGTCGGACTTTGAATAACCGGTCATGGTCGGGATCAGTGGGTGGGGTCATCTCACTGTTGTCAGCGATATGGAACTGAGATCTCAGCTTACTAAATCTGTTTCTTGGCATCACATCGGCGATGGTGGAATAACGCGTGGTTTCACTCCAGTACATCTTGTACGACGGAACCTTGACGACACCCAATATGACGTGAATTCCGACGAATTGCTCCATTTCTTTTGCAGTCGTCTTCACACAGCTTCCGGTTTTCTGCACCGAGTAGAGATTTGTCTGTGCAGCGAAGTTCTCGAAGACTGAATCGTCGCAGAACATCTTGAAATACTGGTATGGTGATGGGAGTTCATCAGGTGGGGGTCCGAAACCTTCTGTGAACTCCGAGCTCACAGGCATGATGTCGCCTTTCTTCCAGATCGGTGCTTCTTTCTTTGAACGCTTATTCTCTTTAGGACACGCTGGTGGAAGTATCGCACTTGCGCTGGCTTGATCTTCCTCGGCGTCGCCTTCACCTTCGACTTCAAGACTGATATCAATTGGACAATCATCTTGAGCATGTTGTCGTTTGTTTTTTCCTGTTCTCATGAGTTGTTCTTCCTCTTCATCCGAAGAGTCCATTTCAGCCTCAGATACATCACTCTGGGGGATGAGGACAGCTATTGGCTCTTCTTTCTTCTTCCCATAAAAGTTCGCGGCATTGAAAGTCGCCATCTGTTCCGATAAAATCAAATCATATATCACACATAAAACCATATCATTTCACCCAGTACATATAAAATTTTGCAGAAACCAAACAAGCCCAACATTAATTCATTTTACACAAACTGAAGGCAGCGTGTTCCCCCAGAGGAAAGTATTCCTCCAAGTACCAGTGTTGTACACGTTCCTCAAAAAAAGGAACGAAATCTCGTTCCTCGTTCCTTCAGCTTTTTGGAACGCGTTCCCGTTACAAGTTCCATACGTGAAAAAGGAACTCGTTCCCGTTACAGTAAAAAAGAAATGGAACGTATACGTATCGTTACATATACGCTACTTTTGTATTGTGCTAATTACCATATTTAGTTAAATCGAGCAAAGTTTTTTTTTTCTTGAATTTATCAAATTGAATGGCAACATACGAATTTGAACTCCCTGACGGAAGGGCACCAGAAGAAGAAAACTATCTGAAACAGAGTTTCATTCGTTGGTATGTTTCACGTTTCTGGCAAGCGATTCAGACGAGCCAAATCTAGTGTTACCCCAGATTGCACGAGCCTTATACAACATTCTCACACGTCTCAATCTAAGAAAGTCCACTGTTCGAACCAAACAACAGTTGCTTCGCGATGTTCCTGTCCGCAAGGCGAGCAAGTGAAGGAGAGGTTAAGGCTTTTGGAAGGTCAGTCTTGAAAACTACTAGTCCTTCTTCGTGAAGGTCGGATTCGTTGTCCAGTTTGAAGGGGGGGGGGGGGGGGGGGGAAGGGGGATACTAAAGGTTAATTTTTCGTGTATCTCTAAAGTGACAGATGTTCGGGATACAAGCGGGCTTGATTAACGAAAAGTAAAACAGCACCAAACCAACGGAGGACAAGAAGACGAAGTGTACAAACCGAGCACTGACTCTCAACAGATTAATTGTAAGAAAACACAAATTGACAAGGATCACGGATCATAAAATCACATCAAATCACCGCCCCCCCCCCCCTCCCCCGCACGTGTCAAATTTGCTCAATAATGCCAACATGGAAGGCGAACTAACGCACCTATCTTTTTGCTTCGAAATATAAAATGCCTCTAAAAGTTCTCTAGTCATCTGCTGACTGTGTCGTCGTAAGATACTCATTTTAGCAAGAACGGGTTTGCAACCGCACCTATCGCAGTGTACTGCCAAGTTGCCTGCTGGCGATGACCTAACCGATAGAGCATACAAGGACCTGTACTTTTGTCGTGGCTGTAGGTCTCTTTGTGGAAATTCAGTGATGGCTGTAGTCGGCCTCAAATTTCTGAGTGTATGAGGTTTCGTGTAAGCAAAGGAAGTAGCTGAGTTTGAAATGCCTCTCCTTCTGTGTCTTTTCCTTAGACTAAATGTTTTGCTTTTTGTACCGTAGCCTCGGGCACTGAAAAAATAATCGGTGTTCGCTAGCTCTCCTGCACCCGACTATTGCCAAGCGAGGGCCACACAAAATAAACCCTAAGTAACAAAAAGTTTAACGAGATCCTGCTCTTCATGGAGATATTGTTTTTGTACTTTTATAAATTCCTTCTATAAAATAAAAATTACCCCACTGGACAAAAAAAAAAAGGAACGCCGTTCCTCTTTCCGTTCCAGTAAAAATGTAACGAGTTCCCGTTCCAGTTCCACCGATGCAAAATGGAACGGCGGCGTTCCTTCGTTCCTCCTAAAAGGAACGCGTTCCGGGAACGCCGTTCCTTGGAACGCCGTTCCGTACAACACTGCCAAGTACCAATGAAGCCACATGGAATCATAATTTTGTTTGAGGTTGCGTTTCACATTTAGGAATTGCTGGCCAATAGCTCTTGCTTCAAATCGCTTCTCTGGGGCTTACTGCAGGTAATCAAGAACAATTCAACAAACAATAAAAGTTATTCTCACCTATAACTCTTGACAATCGCAGAGCAAACCCGGCTTCAAGCGTCCATTGCCTCAATCGAGTTTTCCCGCCGCTTCATAAATCTCGCCACTTCATTGATGTGCCCAAGGTTGCCAGAAAACTTAGTTCAAAGGCTAAATATGGTATTAAACATGATTCCGCTTGGAATCATTGGACTTAAAAGCTTCTGCTGACTTTGAAACGAAGTGATTCCAAATGGAATCACTGGTCCTGAAAGGGCTTTAGGTTACAAGACGGAAAGAAAGATCACAAGACTGCGAAGGCAGGACAGTATCTTGAGACAAGTTGAGAAATGTTCATTTTGGGATCGTCCTTTTGCTTGTTTGTTTTATTACTTTTTTTGTAATAGGCCGTCGCAAACTGTCGCCGTGAAGCGGCGTGACTGGTGGGACAGGTGCGTTAGCGTTTCTGTTATGAGCTGCCGTAGACTGTCGCCGCGAAGCGGGGTGAACGGGTGGGCCGTGTAGGTTAACACACGGCCCAGTGATACACGCGCGACGTAGTGATCGGCTCCCACTGCACCGTGAAAGCGGCGAAAGCTGAAAGTTGTTATCTTCGACAAGAAAGAGCACACTCGAGGCTATTACCGTGCGGCGATATTACGCATTACTATAGGGCAGGATTTGCTTCGCAATTTCAGGACAAAATTATTTATTCTGGCTTTGAAACAGCGGCGACCAGTTGGCCTCTTTGACAAGTTTTTCTTCGACGGGTTGCCCTATGACGAATTGGCTTATTCAACGAATGCGCTGCCGACGAGTTGGCCGTCAACAAGTTGGCTTTCGACGAGTTAGCCTAGACCGATAGTTCCTAGATAAGAACTTCCTACAAGTAGCGACATTCTTCGAAGCGCCGACCGCGTGACGGTGCAGGTTTTAGGAAGCGAATGGCGGCGCACAGCATTACACTGAACTGAATGACGCCATTTTGTTCCGCTGCAATGCGCTTTGTCGTTCGTATTCGTCGTCCTTACTTGTAAAAAGAAGTAGCGAGGGACTTCCGGTAATTGCAAAAGCGCAAATGCAATGAGCGCCGTGACGTCACACTTCTGATCTTGCTTGATTGGCTCTGTCGTATTTTAGCGTCGCATGTTTTCGGTCTTAAAGTGAACCGAAGTATAAGCGTCAACGAGATAGGTTATAGGGGGCGTCCGTACTCTTTCCATACGGAGGACCTAACTCTAACGAAGTAGGCGTATCCACGAAATGTCCCTTCAGTCTCTCTGTCAACGATACGATCCTTTTATTTACTTTTTTCTTCTACTAAGGTCTCTATCTTTTACCCCAGTGTCGGATAATTCTAATGATGATCGAAACACTTGGTTAATGGACGCCGAGCAGACGTAGCAAATTAGAGACGGCGTGACTGACCTTCCCGCGTGTCAGGGCGAGGTGCTAAGACACTACAACAGGTGTCCATGAACTACTGCCGCATTGGTCAGATTGGCACGGTTGTGACTTGGAACAAAAACCCCTTAACGTGACACCGGTAACAAAGTGGTGAGACAAAAAAAAAATCCGTGCCAAAACAAAAGGTAACGTACTTTGCATACGTTTAAGCGCAGCTGCCTCACAGCGCCCACCTTACTGCCATCATTGAGTCTGTCTAAAATAATTAGCGAGAGTTAATAAATTAGTTCAGCAGTCCCTTTTATCGAGATGCGTAAATGGGGCCGCGGAGACTGTCCCCTAGTATAAGTTAACACCAGCTTGTCTTTGGAAACCGATGGCGCTGGAATTCGAAACTGGAACTTGTGCGGCATTGACAACTTATTTATGGCAAGAGCAGACGTTGTGCATTATTCAAATTACGACTGCCTTAGAAGGAGGTTGTCTTACGTGACTGACTGGTCCGCGCGGCCACGCGAATTCTCGCGCACTTAGCGAGATATTGCGAGAGCCCGAGTGACATTCAAAGCGTCGCCGTAATGCGAGGTTCAGAACACGATGGATAATATTACGCGCATAGTCACATTACTTCGCACTTCGAACGCTATGCGACACTCTATATACAGGGTGATTCCGGAAACGCGAGCAAATAGTTCCTGCGAAAACTATGCATCGCGCAGAAGAAACGTCGATGTCATAATGGTATCTGTCAAAAAAAAAAAAAAAAAAAACATTAAGGAAAAATAATTTCACTCACTATAACTGGGAAGTAGTTGCTTTATTTTGAGTAAATTATTTGTTAATATTGGTTTTATAGGCATGATCTTAACGAGTATCTTGTTGGGCATCATAGAAAGCCACTATATTCAATGAAGATAGAACGATATAAGGCACACGCAGCATTTTTCGGCGTTCCGAAAAAAAAACGCTCTAATTGGACGCGTTTCTTGGTTTCGGTTTCTTCTCGGAGCGCATCGGAGCGCATCGGGCAATCCTACTCTTCCGTGTCTAAGACGCGCAACCTGCTTTCGCCGCCACGTATCGGACCTAGAAGAGGCGAAATAAGAAAGCCGCCCTGTCACATAAGGTTTGCCTTTTTGACAGTTGGTGCCCGTGTAAAGACGCACCTTTACGTGCGATGCATGGCGGCGCACGCAGGTTGCGTTTTTGAGACACGGGGACGGGGAAAGGCAGGATTGTCAGCGCGGAGATGCGCGCCGGTAAGAAACCGAAACCCAGAAACGAGTCCAAGTAGAGTGTAGTAAAATTCTGCGCGTGCCTTATTTTATTGTAACGCGGGTGTATTTAGTAGTTTTCAAGGATGCCCAGCGATATTCCAAATCAGTGGTTCTCAACCATAGATGTTTCGCGAACCCCTACTGGATCGGCGGAGATGATGGAGGACCCCGTTTGTGATGAGGAAAGGGGAAAGATGTTGGTTAAATATAATATTGATTTAATAGATGGATATAACTAAGGGCTAGTGTGAAGTAAACTTCTCTTATTGACATATACACAAGTAAATGCACCAGAAAATTAAAATTTTTCTTCTCAACCTGAAAAAAAATTGTTTTTTATTGCCGCGTCGATTGATGAGGCAGGGCTTCGCGGATCCCTAGAATGCCTTCGCGGACCCCAAAGGATCCGCGGACCCCCATTTGAGAACCACTGTTCTAAATCAAAATATCAATTTAAATTTAATAATTTATCGTTTCGTGACTCAGTTACTCAAAATTAATTAATGACCCAATTATATTGAAAGCTAATAATTTTTCTTAATGGGCCCTTTGACACACACCAGTACGGCAGCAACTGTTTCTTGTGCGATGCGTAATATTTGCAGGAGCCATTTTGTCCGTGTTTCCGTAAACACCCCATACAAAATAAAGTAAAAAACGAGCGCGTTGGTAACAGTAACTAAACATGAGGAAGATACATAGAAAAGGGGGACGGACAACAATGACGACATTCACGTGTTCCGCACAAGTGACGTTATTTGTTCAGATGTCACTTACCACTCCTTTTAGTTCCTCCAGGTCTGATACGGATTAAGAATAGTTGATGTACTTTGGAATGTTTTTCCGACTGACAATTTGAGAATCCTAAGACAGCCCGTATTTTAGAGGCGGTTTCATATATTTCTCAAATGCATCTTACCCCTTAGGCGTGAACCTCAGAGGGGGCATCGGGGCTCGTGCCCCTCCCCCCCTCCTAATAAAATCCGGAGGGGGGCAGAGCCCCCCCCCCCCTTTGGGCCCGGGCCATGATCCTTACCGTAACGCTGTTTACGTGCCATGTAACGACCTTCTATAGTAGTGGTACGTAAACAAAATAACGCCCAGTTTGCCTTTATTGACAAAATACATTGGAAATGGAATCCCAACGTGCTTTCCGTTAGCTTCAATCTCCAGTTCTGGCGAAAAGGTAACGCGCACCAACCCCCCCCCCCCCGCCCCCCGCCCCCCCCCCCCCCTAGGAAAATGCAAAGTCTACGCCGCTGTCTTACTCTATTTGGTCCTTTAAAGTGCGACAGATATAGAGCAATAGTTAATAAAGGAGGACGTCATTCAAGTTTCAATTAGAAGCCTAACGCTTCCAGGCCACCCTCAGTCACTTCAGCAGCGACTGGGGGGATGGCCATTGATGAGCAGTATTTTCGTTTTCGTCTTCTTTTACGGTGGTGCGTTTTTTTTTTCCGTTCTTTTTCTAAAATATTAATGATATCTCGAATTTCGAAGGCCGTGGTCATAGGCGGATGTTAGAGCGCTGAAGGACATAATGTTTTTCGGCGTACTTCGTATGTGTCACAATTCCAATAGAAATTTGTCCGTGGTTAATTTCGGCGTTGAAAATGCGTGTGTTCTCAAAGTCAATGCGGTTGCCCTTGCCGTCCACGCGTTCAGTATCCGCGCTGCGCTCTTGTGATCAAACCTGCAAACGAAATTTTAATGAAGGTGCAGAATAAAGATTAATATGATTTTAACCTTGACTTAAATAACAATTTCAAGCGTAATTTGAATCATAACTTAAATTGAGATTTAAATCAGACCACATTCACTACGATGATTAAGATCAATCATTTCCCCTATAAATTATCCTATATTATTTTCAATTTGCCGTTTTTAATTAATTTGAAGATTTCTAGGCGCATTTGTTTCTATTTAAGTTTTAAAAAAATATACAAAAGAGGAAGGCCTTTAATATCCCCAAGAAGAGTCGACCTAATATTCCCATTTTCCGAGGATCTGCTATAGCAGATAAGATGCGTTTTTGGGGAACTCATCTCAGATCTTCTGCATGATCTCAGATCTGATGCAAGACCAAACTTCTCAACGACCAAGTGCAAATTGAATACATTAATATCCGAGGAATATCTTGGACAGTGAAAATGAATACCCTTGCAATGATTTGGACATCAGCGCGTTTCTTTGGTAAATTTTTCAAGTAAGAAACAGAAAAGCATGTTCAATGCACGGCATTGTCCCTTTCTTGACTGCAGATATGCATGTAATTTTTTTCGCATGGTAAGATACTTACTCTTTTAGTTGGAAGACGGTCGAAGTGAATCTTTTTTAACAAGACTTCCAAAACTAAAAAAAAAGTTTTGCTTCCGGACTTTCATCGTCCGCCGTTCACTTGCTGCCAAATAAGGGCTTGGATTATGTCTGCCTGCGAATAAGAAAGTTTTTTAAGGTCAAAAAGGCACTGCTAAATAGAGTTTTTTTTTTCAATTTTGCTTCCATCAGATTCCAAACGAATGACATCAGGAACACTGATTTCGTTGCTGAAAGCACTTGCTGAACATTCATCTTTACATGATTGTTTCTGTTTTTTTTTTTTTTTTAGAATACAGTGTTAGTCGTTTTAGGTAGAGCCCGATATTCACCCTAAAGTTCTCGTACCACAAATGGTGCATTCTGACACAGCTTGTAACCACTTCAACTACACTTTGCCATATAATTTGTTTGCGCTTTAGTCTCACTAACTTGAAACAAAAGTACATATTTGTCAACAACTAAGAAACACTTCCTCGGCAGAAAACAGATTCATATTTGTTAGTAGATCAACATCGAAGTTACTCGCTTGAGTGGGAGAAAAACAACGTTGAGGCATTGGGTGAACAACGTGTCCTAATTTGGTATGTCTCAGACTCCTACTCAGTCACGACTTTTAAAGAGAGAGAGAGAGAGCAGTGAGAACTCCGACTTGTTGCTCGAGGACTTTTGACGCAATCCTAATTGGCACTTTAGTGAGCCTATTGATTGTTCCGTTTCTGGTTCAGGATGTAACTGTCCGGACATTGTTAGTCGTCATTACCGCTCGATCATGCGGTAATGACGACTAATAATAGAGTAATCAGACTAGACTCGTCGTTTCGTAACGGTATCACAAGTTAACTTTCTGTGCTGTCATTAGGGAGAATGACACACCCTTAATAAACCGTCTGGACACTGCAGACGAGTTTGTTTTACTCTCGTTTAACTCATCACCGGAGAAGCGCCTTGTGTTATAGGGAAGTTTAAATAAAATTTCGTGCTCTTTTGCTTTTATTTTTTATTGTCTTTTTGATATTTTTACTTTGTGCTGCTATTGAGAGAGGGAGGAGAGGCTTGTCAGGCATCGCGCCATTTTCTCTGCCTTCTGCGAATGCTATCCGCACAGCTAATAAAACAAAAACACACGCTAAAATCAGCGTAGATATCAAATGAAGCTAATGATTGCACAGTGCCAGTCCTACACTTCTTTTTTAGAGATAACATAAGTTGAGCACGAAGTTATCCTACAGGAAATTCATCTCTACGTCTAAGGTTCGCAAATTACCGCGAACACGCTCAGCATATTCTCTTTTTTTACTACGCTCCTCAATTTCTGGTGCACAGCTTGCTTGGCGCTCATGGTGATATCAATGAACTGCCGTGTGCTTGCAAAAGGCAGACATTTTTTCAATGTAGTGTTAGTTGGTAGTTTTTAATCAGTGGTTATTCAGCGTTTGTCCTGTGTAGTCCTCCTTTGTTGTCATTGCCTCTTTCGCGCTGTTTTTCACTATGAACTCATAGCAACTGGCCGAATCGTTCCTTCTAATAGACGATGAGCCTGAAATCTCCGTATTATTTATAACAGTGTAACAATAGTGTCAAAAAGACGACATAATCAACAAAAAGCAAATCTCACACAAAGAAAATACTAGCAGAAAATGCTATTAAGGTTGAAGTTATCAGGAGCACATAGAAAACCGTTTGCGAGAACAGAACACAACGTTCAGCAATTAAGAAAATATATAATTTAAAGAATAAAATTTTAATAAAACCTATAAAAGCAATGCAGCAGCGGCCAGAACAGCAGCTGATTCCCAATGGTGCAGACATCACTCGGCGAGGAATAAACAGTAAAAAAAAATCCCCTTACATTTCCCAGCGAGTTGACTTCGTGCCTTACGCATGACCAGAGCACTACTCAGACTCCCACTTACAGATTCGTGTACTTAGTTTTTTATTTCCTTTCTTGTTGCCCCCTAGCGATAGTTTCTTCAAATGAAGGTCTAGTTGTGAACCAAAAAGAAAACAAAAGAGTTATTTTCCGTCTGATAAAAACAATTTTTCTTTTCGCAGCCAAAGAACAAAGCACCGGCTGGTATTAAAACACTCTCTTAGATTTTTTTGGGCAAGTTTTGTTGTGTTTGTAACGCGTACGTAAGAAAGGTACAAACATATTAAAGGAAAATACAGACGGCTAAATGCGCAAGGCCTGAAGAACGCCTCCTACTCAAGTTCTAACCAATCCCAGATTCTACTGCTTTGGGATTTTATAAAATAATCCACAGTAACCGCGTTTTTTTTTTCATTCATTACTGTTTGACGCACCTCGAAGACCCCCGCTAGAGCATGGCAAAGCAGACTAACGTTGCAATTCCTAAGCTGCTACAAGACTAAGTTAATTATTCGTAGCTGACAGCTCAAGTAACGCAAGGCGCCGCGATTCCCGTGCATTTGTTTTATCTCCGTTCATCCAATCAAATTGCGGTATTAGCTGACAACAAAACCGAAAAACAATCACCAGGCTGGAAGCAGGCACAAAGACACGCCTTGCGTTTCATAACAGAAATGTACTTCGAACTCCACGAAAAACTTAAGACTGGCATTTTGTACGCTGTGGAACAACGGGACAATTTCATCCGTTTTACCATAAGAATGCAGCGTACCTTCGGCAGTAAACATATACCGGGCGCATCTTTCGAAACGCCAACTCTTTGATGCGCATCAAGTTACGTCGCCCCTCACATGAGAGGACACTTCGCAAGAACCAAGCCAAAACGGGAGCAAACGCTCCCTCTTCGTCGAACCAAAACTTGCCTCATCCAACTCCCGTCACTTGCTGGTGGAAAATCAGCCGCGGTCTTTACGTGGCGACCGCTCTCAAAGCCCGGTTTCGACTGAGCCGCGCAACGTTGCAAGTTTAGAGCGAAAGGCGACGAACGGTTATTGAGATTTCCGGCGCACCTTGAGAAATATAAAAAAAGTACACATTAAAACGGCTTTAGACACCGACAGCTGTCTGCCTGGGAAATTAGGGGGAGGGGGGGGGGGGATATTGTCAGCTCTAGAGCAACCGATGACTACTCAAAGACTTGAGGAGAGTCCTTCTAACTTCAGCGCCTAATGTATTTTGATTGTTTCATTGCTTTATTGACCTGTTTCTCATTTTTAACAGATGATAGGTTATATGTTTAGTACAAGAAGGTTATAATTAGGGCTCCGTGTTTTCGGAGTTTATTTTTCGTCAAATGCGGAGGGTGTTTTTTTTAGTTTACTTTTTGCCAAAGATTCGGAGTTTATCGGAGTTCATAATTTTTTTATTCCCGATTCTCCGAAATTTGGAGTTTAATTTCGCTCTGTTTCCTATTAAAACAAATAAATAAATGATAACGGAATGTAAACGTATGGCAGATAAAAAATAAAACGCGCTTGTATCAATTAAAGAAATCTTCACTTGAATTTGGCGTTGGTGCCATTGCCATTTGCAATACTAATTTATCCTCGACAAAAGCCACATACAATGTACAATGACCTGTTGCCCTGAATCAAACTTGAAGAGACAAGCGGCAAGACTCCTATTGACAACGGTCTGAGATTTCAAAGATATTTATGATGGAATTTTCCCATGACCATTAGCTCTGTGCTGTTCAAACTGTAAAAAAAAAAAAATGTATTTTACTTTTTTTTTGCCGGGGGGGGGGGGGGAGGGGGGGAGGGGGGGGAGTGGCATTGACACGTAAATATTCGGAGTTTATTGGATAAATCCGAAATGACCAAAATTTTATCGGCGCTGTTTTTCGGAGTTTTTCGGATTTATCCGAAAACACGGAGCCCTAGTTATAATGGGCAGGAGGAGGCGGTCCGTATTCTCCATAGATGGTGCCAAGTGTAATGGAAGGGGGCGTGGCCAAGAAATGTCTCGTTATTCTCTCGTCTATTGAGACGAACCATTTCATGTGTCTTCTTTATTTTAAAAAAGTCCTCAACTTTTACCACAGTCTAGGCAATTTTTATCGTGATTAGGGAACTCAGTTAACGGACGCCGCCATGAAATTATGGGGCAAACATCCGCGTTGCCATGGCATTGCTGTGGCAACGTTTGTTTTTTGCCCCAGAATTTTAAGGCGACGTCCACTAAATCGGAGTCTAACAGGCGAGATTTGGAGCCCAACACTTGCCTGGGCCGGTGGCAAGTCGTCGTGTAGCGGACGCTCTTGACACAGCGCCGGGAGCGTCGTCTAGGGCGAGTCGTCATAGCTCGGCTTTGGAAAGCAATCGAGTGTCAGTCGCCATACGCACTAACGCTGCAGAATGGCACCGCGAGTTGAGAACGCCGTACAGGCCCCACTGCTTCCCATAGGTGTTCGTTTCCCCCCGCCGTGATGAGAATGCGGGTTCGCATCGAAACTTATTTTGGTGTGCCGATCGAATCGAAAGCCAGCCGCGACAGCGGGCAGACAAAGCAGACCGCAGGCACGGAGCAGAAGTAGCCTAAGCCTAACGACCGAGCGGAGAGCAGATGATAGGAGCTCGGTTGGATTTAGTTTGAATGATAGCGCGTCGGTCCCCGAGGCAGTTTGTGCTGTATCAGAGCTGTGTCATGACTCTTGGAAACTTTGTATCATCCTCCAATGTACTTATCATTCTTATCACCACCCTTTCTGTTTTGCACCCGAAGCATCGGCTGCCTATATTATCACGTCCCTGACAATAAACGTTGTTCACAACCCAGCATGTCTCCGTTCGGACGCGTCGTAGCAGTGGCGACGAGAACGAATCAACGCGGGTAGTGGCGTATTGCCACCCTGGGTAAAGCATGGCGTATCAAGTACCGCAGTTCGACGATGGGAAAGACAAGTGGGCCTCGTACACCATCCGGATTGAATCGTACATCGAAGGAAACGAAATCAAGGAGGACGCCAAGAAAAGAGCCCTGCTGGTGTCCGCCCTCGGGTCAAGAACAATTGAAGTACTGAGTGGCCGATGTGCTCCAAGGAAGGTGAGCGAATTAACCTATAAAGAGGTCGTGACAATTCTAGAAGATTTCTACGCGCCACCACCAAACGAAATAGCAGAAAGTTTCAAGTTTTATCACCGGACCCAGAAAGAGGGAGAGTCGGCGCAAGAGTTTATCGTGCAACTCCGACGCATAGCTGACAAATGTAATTTTGGAAACATGCTAGACCGGATGATTCGAGACAGAATTGTGTGCGGCATTCGAGATACGGATGTTCAGAAGCTGCTGCTGGCACAGCCGAAGCTGACATTGCAAGAAACTGAAAGAATCGTGCGAGCCGCTGAAGCAGCCACGCAAGGCGCGCAAGAAATTAAGCAACCGGAGCCGGCAGAGGAACCAGCCCCAGCCTTGAACGCGCTCACCGAAAAAATGCGAAGATTCAACTTCAGGAAAACAGATAAAGGTTCTCGCGTGCAGGCTAACTTGTGCGGAAGATGCGAAAACGCAGCGCACGGAACAGAAACATGCCGGTTCATGAACATGAAGTGCTTCCAGTGTGGAAAGAAAGGTCATGCAGTCCGAATGTGTCGCACGGAAACCAAGAAACAAGCCAAAGCTTGTGCGATACACGGAAACGAAGCCAGCAGCGATGAGAGCGACATGTCACTGCAGCTGTTGACCTTGAAGTCGTATCTCTCAACAGACGAACAGTTGGTTGCACCTGTGCGCAGGAAATTTTGTTGGGGTGGCGCCGACATCGTCATGGAGGTGGATACAGGTTCGCCGGTCTGCGTAATCTCAAGGGACGTATATGACAGGCACTGCCATGGCTGGCCGAAGATGGAACGTTCAAGACTGAAGTTGTCATGCTACCTGGGAAAGCTGCCGGTGGCTGGTAAGCTTACGCTTGCCGTCAAGTATTGTGACCAAGAGGTGACGGCGACACTGACAATCCTAGACTGCGCAGGTCCACGTTTATGTGGACGCGACTTAATACAAAAGTTGAACTGTCTTGGAACACCTGTTTTGAAGTTAACGGCGGCAACCGAAACCGCGCAGGACGTCGAGCTGAAAGAACTACTGTCAGAATACGAGGAGTTGTTCGGTGACGGACTGGGTTTGCTCAAAGGCCCGCCAGCGCATCTATATGTGAAAGAAGGAACTGCACCCAAGTTTTTCAAGGCCAGGCCTCTGCCATACGCCATGCGTGACAAAGTGTCTAATGAACTGGACAGACTTGTCGAAAACGGTGTTATCTCTGCGGTTCCTCACGCGGACTGGGCAACACCAATTGTCCCTGTCCTAAAAAAGGATGGGACCATAAGAATTTGCGGCGATATTAAGTTGACCGTGAACTCAGCCTGCTGCACCGAGCAATATCCACTCCCCGTAATCGACGACCTGTTCGCGGCACTCAATGGGGGCGACAGGTACAGTACGTTGGACCTTCGAGATGCGTACAATCAAGTGCCACTCGATGACGAATCCAAGAAGTTAACCGTCATCAACACGCACCGTGGTCTCTTCTGTTTCAACCGGCTGCCATTCGGTTTTTCTTCCGCACCCGCTATCTTCCAGCGCAAGATGGAGAGCCTGCTGCGAGGAATACACGACGTACAAGCGTATCTCGATGACGTCATTGTCTCGGAGAGAAGAAAGGAAGACAGGAGCGTGCTCAAGCAGGTGCTGCAGCGTTTCAAGGAGAACGGAGTCAAGCTGCACAGAGGGAAGTGTAACTTCTGGCAGGACGAAGTCTGCTATCTCGGGCACCGCATCAACAAGGACGGCCTACACCCTACGGAAAAGAACCTGGCGGCTATAATGGAAGCAAGGAGCCCGAAGAACGTAAGTGAACTCCGCTCTTTCATAGGACTTTTGACCTACTACAGCAAGTTTCTGCCCAACATGGCTACCCTCTTGGCGCCACTGTACAACCTTCTAGCGAAGAATCAACGCTGGAAATGGGACCAAGCAGAGGAGCATGCTTTCAGAAAGGCCAAGCGGGGGTTATGTACGGCAGATGTTCTTACGCATTTTGACCCGTCCAAAGTTTTACGTCTCGAGTGTGACGCATCGCCTTATGGGGTAGGGGCTGTGTTGTCCCATAGTTTCAGACACGTGGACAGACCAATAAGATTCAGGTCCCGGACGTTATCAAAGGCGGAAAGAAATTATTCGCAAATTGAGCGTGAAGCATTAGCCCTAGTGTTTGGGGTAACCAAATTTAGAGATTATCTGTTGGGGCGGGACTTCACGCTCGTTACCGACCACAAGCCCTTGGTAGGGTTGCTGAGGGAGGACAGACCTACACCTGTCACGGCGGCGGCCAGAATTCAGCGCTGGGCGTTACTGCTAGGGGCATATCAGTACAAGATAGAATACAAGCCGGGGCCCCAGAACCAGAACGCTGATGCACTGAGTCGTTTACCGATAAATGTTCCGGACAAGGAGACGGACGAGCTGCCAGAATATGTGCTTTCAGTTAACCAACTCGATGATACTATTCTGTCGGCACAACGATTGCGGTCACTAACCTCGGAGGACCCGCTACTGTCCAGGGTGAAAGACTATGTGCTGCACGGATGGGCAAAGCACCTAGAGGATGACGACCCACAAATGCAACCCTTCTTTCACAGGAAGTTGGAACTCACCGTAGCCCAGGGTTTGCTCTACTGGGGGCACCGGGTCGTCGTGCCACAGACAGCACGTGGAGCGATGCTAAAAATGCTGCACGAGACCCATCAAGGACCATCGGCGATGAAGGCGGTCGCGCGGACACTTCTTTGGTGGCCAGGGCTCGATGGTGAGATTGAACATCTTTCCCGGAGTTGCAGTGCGTGTATCCAGGCACGGCCGATGCCGCCATCATATGTTCCGGTGAAGTGGCCGGAGACGGGAGAAAAGTGGTCGCGATTACACCTGGATTTCGCGGGACCGGTGTCGGACGCCATGATATTAATTGCAGTGGACTCTCACTCAAAGTGGATAGAGGCGGTGGCCATGAAGAATTCGACTGCCGATTCTACAATAGCAGCTGTGCGCGAAATGTTCAGCCATTTTGGGATACCGAAGACTATCGTGACAGACAACGGGACTCAATTTACCGCAGAATCGTTCTCTCGATTCCTCGCGGGAAATAACGTAGAACATCTACGCACTGCTCCATACCACCCTCAGTCCAACGGGCTAGCAGAAAGAGCAGTCAGGACGATTAAGGATGGTCTAAAAAAGGTCACGCATGGTAACCTTGCTACGCGTTTGGCTAAAATATTATTCGCGTACCGCCGAACTCCTTTGGCTGACGGTTCTTCGCCATCACAACGACTGCTAGGCTACCAGATCAGATCTCGTCTAGGCGCCTGCCTGCCGTATCCTGGTGCTTCATTGGTGCCTTTGCAGGAACCCCGTAGCAAGCTGTGGCCCGGAGATCCAGTTTGGGCCCGGAACTTCGGAGAAGGAGAAAGGTGGTTGCCAGGGACGGTAACTACAACGACCGCAGCAAGGATGGTCTCAGTGGACACACCGTCGGGAGAAGTCCGACGTCACATTGACCAGATCCGTTTTCGAGAGCCGCTGGCACTCAAAGTACCAGGGACAGCGGCAAAGACAACGCAAGGCGCTCGACAAGATGCAGTACCAGATACAACACCTGCAGAACCAACCATCAGCACCACCCAGCCGCCAGAGTTGCGAAGGTCAACCAGAGAAAGGAAGCCTGTAGATCGCTATAGACCCTAGGGGGAAGGAATGCTGTATCAGAGCTGTGTCATGACTCTTGGAAACTTTGTATCATCCTCCAATGTACTTATCATTCTTATCACCACCCTTTCTGTTTTGCACCCGAAGCATCCGCTGCCTATATTATCACGTCCCTGACAATAAACGTTGTTCACAACCCAGCATATCTCCGTTCGGACGCGTCGTAGCAGTTTGGATTCGGTTTTCTTTTTTTGGCGTCGCTGGGCATGACGTCATGCCGGGTAGTGGCCAACGTTACTAGATTATCTCAGTTGTGGAACTCCCACGGAAGGAGGTACACCCCTCTATCACTTGAGTCCGCTTCCCGTCGTTCGAAGCGCCACTTAGATTTTAGTTTACGAACTGTGTGTTCTACAGAGTAAAGTGGAGCGCCATCTACAGGGTGTCACAAAAGAAAATTTACACCATCTTTTTCGTCGCAAAAATAAATTAGGCATCGCCCAACGCCTATTCTCCGCCCAAAGGAAGAGCTAGAGGTCACAACCAGATGCCAAAGTTTCAGCCCGATCCGATGATTTAATCAAAAGTTATCTGAGTTTCTGAAAATTTCAATGAGAAAATGGAGCCCATTTATGCCCGTTTTCGGTTTCTGGTGCCATAGAGCCCCATGTGTTTGAAAACTCCGTCGGCCGCCATTTTCCCATTGAAATGTTAAGAAAATCACTTATAACTTTTGATTAAGTTATCGGATCGGGCTGAAACTTTGGCATCTGGTTGTGACCTCTAGCGCTACCTTTGGGCGGAGAATGAGCGTTCGGCGATGCCTAGTTTAAGTTTGCGGTAAAAAAGACCCTGTAAATTTTCATTTGTGACACCCTGTAGACGCTGCGCTTCGAAAGGTACGAGTCCCACAGAACGCACTGCAGTTACCTAAGGAGCCGTCCGGCGCGTCGAACGACGGGAGGCAATCGTGGAGAGTAAAGGGTGGGGGGGTAGTGCTTGTGCATGCAGAGTCTATGAGCAGTTCCGTAACTGAGCTCATCTAATAACGTTGGTCCTGCCCTATTTAAACGTCCATGGGCTAGTCCCTATAACGACTTCCGGTATCCAAACGGGGACGGAAGTTAATAGAGAGTTTTAGTAGATCGTTCCCATGACTCCGATAACGATATCCCGATACTCCGCCACCGCCTCCCTTGCGCATGCATAGTATCGTTATCGGGGCTATCGGAGATATCGGAACGATCTACTAAAACTCTCTATTAGCCGAATGCCAGGCGAACGCTGACGCGACACTCGTCTCCTCACTGACTGGACATCAGCGCCAGCCGAAAACCTTCATTCGTGCTACTACCGGCTTAGAAAAAAGGAGAAAAAAAAAACAATAAAACAAATGTCACGTGTTCAGACGTGCAACGGCGATCTGCTCGGTGAAACGAGCGCCCTTCGAGTTACCACGGAGAAAGGGCGCTAAAAATAGCGGCACAAGGACAGAAAAAAAAAGTGAAAGCTGCTTACAACTCCCTGTAACGCCGAATTAGAGCGCAGCTCTTGAGGGGGAGGAGGGGAGGGCACTGGGGGGGGGTTAAACTAACCAGGGGGGGGGGGTCACGTGACCCCTAATCCTGATGATGTAATCACTGACGTCACTGATGACGTCGTCAGTGACGATGACGATGCGGGTACCGATGACGTCATTAGTGACGCCACTGATGACTTCACCAGTGATGATGACGATCACGATGCGAATGTCGGTGACGTCATCAGTGACGTCACTGATGACGTCATCAGTGATGATGACGATGACGATGCGGATGTCGGTAACGTCATCAGTGATGATGACGATGACGATGCGGATGCCGGTGACGTCATCAGTGATGATGACGATGACGATGCGAATGCCGGTGACGTCATCAGTGACGATGAAGATGACGATGTGGATGCCGGTGACGACATCAGTGACGTCACTGATGACGTCATCAGTGATGATGACGATGACGATGCGGATGTCGGTAACGTCATCAGTGATGATGACGATGACGATGCGGATGCCGGTGACGTCATCAGTGATGTTGACGATGACGATGTGGATGCCGGTGACGTCATCAGTGATAATGCCGATGACGATGTGGATGCCGGTGACGTCATCAGTGACGATGACGTCATTGGGGGGTCACGCGACATCGGAGGGGGTCACGTGACCTCAGGGGAGTCACGCGACTTCGGGGGGTCACGTGCCCCCCACGAGGTCACGTGACCCCGGTGGGGGGCTCGCGCGGTGCATTATGGGACATTTCCCATGATGCACCGGGGTCACGTGACCTCGGGGGGGGTCACGTGCCCCCCACGAGGTCACGTGACCCCGGTGGGGGGCTCGCGCGGTGGATTATGGGACATTTCCCATTATGCACCGCGCGGTTACGCCGACGCCGACGCCGACGCCGACGCCGCTCAAGGCGGAAACGGGCCCCTAAGAGCTGCGCTCTAAAAAGGCAGACAGCTACGTTAGACATGATCAGTCTACGGCAATGAGATGGGTAGATCAAGTGTTTGATTGTCTTTTGCCGCGAGCTGGCGTCGGGGCTCTGCTCGGCGCTGCCGCGTTCCAATTGTTTTATTAGAGCGCAGCTCTTAGGGGCCCGTTTCCGGCTTGAGCGGCGTCGCCGTCGCCGTCGGCGTCGGCGTAACCGCGCGGTGCATCATGGGAAATGTCCCATAATGCACCGCGCGAGCCCCCCACCGGGGTCACGTGACCTCGTGGGGGGCACGTGACCCCCCCAAGATCACGTGACCCCGGTGCATCATGGGAAATGTCCCATAATGCACCGCGCGAGCCCCCCACCGGGGTCACGTGACCTCGTGGGGGGCACGTGACCCCCCCGAGGTCACGTGACCCCGGTGCATCATGGGAAATGTCCCATAATGCACCGCGCGAGCCCCCCCACCGGGGTCACGTGACCCCCCGAAGTCACGTGACTCCCCTTAGGTCACGTGACCCCCGCCGATGTCGAGTGACCCCCCAATGACGTCATCGTGACTGATGACGTCACCGACATCCACATCGTCATCGTCATCATCACTGATGACGTCACCGGCATCCACATCGTCATCATCACTGATGACGTCACCGGCATCCACATCGCCATCGTCATCATCACTGATGACGTCACAGGCATCCGCATCGTCATCGTCATCATCACTGATGACGTTACCGACATCCGCATCGTCATCGTCATCATCACTGATGACGTCACCGGCATCTGCATCGTCATCGTCATCATCACTGATGACCTCACCGGCATCCGCATCGTCATCGTCATCATCGCTGATGACGTCACCGACATCCGCATCGTCATCGTAATCATCACTGATGACGTCATCAGCGACGTCACTGATGACGTCACCGACATTCGCATCGTCATCGTCATCATCACTGGTGAAGTCTTCAGTGACGTCACTAATGACGTCATCGGTACCCGCATCGTCATCGTCACTGATGACGTCAGTGATGACATCATCGGCATTGGGGGTCACGTGACCCCCAAGGTCACGTGACCCCCCTGGTTAGTTTAACCCCCCCCCCCCAGTGCCCTTCCCTCCTCCTCCTCAAGAGCTGCGCTCTAATTCGGCGTTACAGGGAGTTGTAAGCAGCTTTCACTTTTTAGAGCGCAGCTCTTAGGGGCCCGTTTCCGGCTTAAGCGGCGTCGCCGTCGCCGTCGCCGTCGCCGTCGGCGTAACCGCGCGGTGCATCATGGGAAATATCCCATAATGCACCGCGCGAGCCCCCCACCGGGGTCACGTGACTTCGTGGGGAGGCACGTGACCCCCCCGAGGTCACGTGACCCCCCGAAGTCACGTGACTCCCCTGAGGTCACGTGACCCCCTCCTCGAGGTCACGTGACCCCCTCCTCGAGGTCACGTGACCCCCTCCTCGAGGTCACGTGACCCCCCGAGGTCACGTGACCCCCGCCGATGTCGCGTGACCCCCCGATGACGTCATCGACACTGATGACGTCACCGGCATCCACATCGTCATCGTCATCATCACTGATGTCATCATCAGTGATGACGATGACGATGCGGATGCCGGTGACGTCATCAGTGATGATGACGATGACGATGTGGATGCCGGTGACGTCATCAGTGATGATGACATCAATGATGATGACGTCATCAGTGACGATGACGATGTGGATGCCGGTGACGTCATCAGTGATGATGACGATGACGATGTGGATGCCGGTGACGTCATCAGTGATGTTGACGATGACAATGCGGATGCCGGTGACGTCATCAGTGATGATGACGATGACGATGTGGATGCCGGTGACGTCATCAGTGATGATGACGATGACGATGTGGATGCCGGTGACGTTACCGACATCCGCATCGTCATCGTCATCATCACTGATGACGTCATCAGTGATGTCACTGATGTCGTCACCGGCATCCGCATCGTCATCGTCATCATCACTGATGACGTCGTCAGCGACGTCACTGATGACGTCACCGACATTCGCATCGTCATCGTCATCATCACTGGTGAAGTCATCAGTGACGTCACTAATGACGTCATCAGTGACGTCAGTGATGACATCATCGGCATTGGGGGTCACGTGACCCCCAAGGTCACGTGACCCCCCCTGGTTAGTCTAACCCCCCCCCCCAGTGCCCTTCCCTCCTCCTCAAGAGCTGCGCTCCAATTCGGCGTTACAGGGAGTTGTAAGCGGCTTTCACTTTTTTTCTCCCGCACTCCGTTTACTGCATCCCGTACTTCAACAGGCTCAAGAAAAGTGCAATTACATTGCCGCCAGAGAAGATGGCACCTTCAAGTAAGACATCCACAGTGCGCTCACGTGCTTACCGAGCTCAGCAAAGGGCCGCTTCACGCCACACGTTCTTCGCGTGTTTACACAGTTTTTCTACACTAACAGATAACATTCTGTGTAACCACTGTCTTTGTCACGCGAGTACGGCAAAGGGGCGATTGGTTACGTCTTGTTGGCGATTGAAGGTTTTGAAAGGTTACGGAAACCAAACTTTAGCTCTTACTTCTTTGTTTTGCCAGAAACAACGTTGGTGTCAGCACCTTAGAAACACCGGTTTTCCGCTCGTAAATGCATGAAAGGCTAATTTAAAAAAGGATACAACAAATTCTCAATACCCCTTGGTAGCAGAAATTCGATGTAGTTATGACGT